GCATAGCCCGCCGCCTCCTCCTGTTGCTTCCCCACCGCGGCCCAAACCCACGGCGAGCGTTTCAAGGATGCCCTGGCGGTGTTTGGGGGCCACGTTGAGGCTGTTGGGAGCTTGGTTTTGCTCAGACGCCAGGGTGGGGGTGATCTGCGATTACTGGCCGAGCAAGTGGGACCAACTAGGGTTGTGGGTGCACACAAGTTCCACACTCTGGAGGGACTTGGAGCATAGGGGAGCCAGAAGATACCCAGCTGGGTTTTCCCTCCGCTTGTAGCGACCGCCAGCCCCACAACCCCGGCCTGGGCGTGCGTCTCTGAGATCTCGCTGTTTCAAAGGACAATAAAATTTCCCGTGCAAACCGAGCGCGCTGCTGTGGGGTCGGGAAATTGCGCGGCTGCAGAAGCGGACACACGCAAATGAGGGTGAGGGGGACCCCCCCCTCCCTGTGGGGCCAGGACTGGCCCTGGCCTGGCTTTTTTGGCAAAACTCTGCCCTGTTTTGTTCTTGTCCATGAGAAGCCAATGGGACCCAGGCTCAGTTTTGCCCAAAAAAGTGGGGGGGTGACTCCTAGGGGGGCAGGGAGGAATGTGCACCAGCCCCCCCCAGCTGAGGGGCAGTCACAGGAGCCACTCAAGCCAGCTGTGGGTGGGCGGTAGGGGGTCTTGGACAAGTACCATGCATGGGCAGCCAATAGGGGATCTCATACCAGTCCTGTGTGTGTGTGTGGGGGGGGAATCTCAGGCCAGCCCCACAAGTAGGCAGCAGTGGGAGGGAGGACATACATCCCAGCTCCAAATAGAGTGAGGGGCAATGTTCCCTCTTGTCTTTTCCATCCATGGGTGTAGGTTTTCCATCAACGTGCGGAATAAATTTTGTTCTGTGCACCACGGCGCGGGCGGATGTGCACCACCCACAGCCACACAAACCTAGCTGCGGACACGCTGCTAATTGGAGTCTTTTCCCAGATGGCCGCACCAGCACCCACTGGTGGGGCACCTCAGAAAACAGGACACACTGGTGAGCAGGGAGGAGCCACAGGGACCCTCCGGCTCTGAGCGTGCTCCCAGAAAAGGTGGGGGAAGAGGCCGGGGGAGCACGAGAGGCCGAGGTTGCTCCGGCAACTCGGCTCAGAACCGGGCACGCCGGGGGCGCTGAGCCCTTCACAACTTAAAGGCAAAATGTATTCGACTGGGTTGTGTGGGCCAGTGAACCTGATGCCTTTTTATTACGTATGGGTCGCTTCCCGCCCGCTTAATTAGCCTCGTTAGCACCCGCACAACAGCCAGGTGCTCTGTTATAACTGGCGAGGGTCCCTCCTTTTCTCCGCACCTCTGAGGAAGTGGGTTTTGCCCACTAAAGCTCGTGCTACTTTTATATAAGTTAGTCTCCCAGCCTTGGTCTACATCCGTGGTTTTCAACCAGGGGTATCCTGAGGAGTACTCGAGGGAAGTCTGGCGGGTTCGTCCACACCACGGAAAGTTCGACAGCGCTTTATTATTCTCCTTTTGACACCCCAAAATTTAATCACATGCCCGGCCCCGACGAAGTTGTTTTAAAAAAATGTGTTCCAACGGTAGAAAAAAATGGTGTGTCTGAAAACTTTAGGTAATGGAAGGACTTACAATATTTGTGTTGAAAAAAGGGGTACTTTATAAAAAACGGAGGAGAAACCGTCATTTCGAAAAACAGCACGTCCGCGCGACCAAAGCCCGCTGTTTCAAAATCAACGGGCTGGCTTGTTTTGAAATCTGGCCTCCTGCTTCCCCCCCGCTTTGGAAGGAGCGGTCGGGTGGCCGTTCTTTTGAACTCACGATGCCCCCGTGTCCTTCGAACTCGTTTCTCCTTGGTAGAGCCACATGAACGGAGCCTGCCGTGGAGGCAAGTCGCGGGGGCGGGCGGGTTCCCTGTCGTTATTCTG